TCGATTATATTGATCCAATGGTTATATTTATTTCCATCTTTGTAGGGTCATGATTTTCCAAATTTAATACTTTATATTTATTTTTACCTTTGTAAACTTGGTTGTAATAATATCCTTCCCCATAATTATAACTCTTAGTATTTTATTTTAATTTTAATTTTTGGTGAGGCTCATTATCATAGAAAAAATATGATGGAAAGCAGTCAGTCTAGGCTCCTTGCTATTAGGCTTCTCTTACATTCATACTTTCTCTTGTTCTTATATCAGTTTCTCCCTTATAATTAATTTTACAAAAACAGCAAATATAGCTGGGTACGTGGTTGGTTTCAGAAGTCAGCAAAAGCGATTATTAATCAAGTTCCTGCAATTTAACAAGATAAAAAAAATTTGTACAGTGGTTAATGGTTGAGTTGCCTCAAAGAGGGATATTTACATTACCTTATGATTTTCTAGTTTCTGCTCAAAATTATAAGGCATGTTAATTTCCGCCACCTTTCATTTTTTTTTTGTTGGAGGAGGAGGAGCAATAGAAGACTGACGAGGAGGAGGAGGAGGGAGGAGGAGGAGGAGGAGGAGGACGAGCAATAGAAGACTGACGAGGAGGAGGATGTGAATCACAGGTCATCTAATGGTGTTTCTCTCAAACACTTCAAACACACAAGGAGTTCTCTGAATATACCTCTTTGTATATCTTTTAACATTCAAGCCTTACTTTCAAATAATTTACATGGTGCTATTTAAAAGCAATAGCAAATAACTAGAAATACTAATGACTAACTTAGGAAATCTAAACACATTAATGACTACTTCTTAGAAACTTTAAACTCATTAATGTCCACTAACAAATTCCTAAGAGACACCTCTTCACCAAAAAACCTTTCATTTTCTATTTTCTTTTATTCAAATAAAGTTTAAAACCCAACAAAACTCCTCCTTAAACTTTAATATCTCTACCATCCTTCATTCCCATCTTCTTCTTGCAATTTTCAAACAACAACGTCGGCAGGGGCTTTGTAAAAATATCTCCAACTTGATCTCGGCTTGCAACATGAGTGAGCTCCACTTTTCCTTCTTTGACTTGATCTCGGATGAAATGAAACCTGACATCAATATGCTTACTCCTCTCATGATTGATCGGGTTCTTTGCTAACTCGATCGCAGACTTGTTGTCAACTCGGATTTCGGTTGCGCCGACTTGCCCTTGCTCCAGCTTGCTTAGTAAATTCCTTAGCCATATTGCATGGCAAACACACCAAGATGCCGCAACATACTCGGCTTCACATGTAGACAGGGTCACAATGGGTTCCTTTTTTTGACACCCACGTGAAAGCCGTGTTTCCCATGAAAAACACATAGCCAACCGTGCTCTTTCTATCATCAACATCTCCGCACCAATCACTGTCTGAATAACCCGTCAACTTGTATTTGTCCGACTTCGAGTAATGAAGTCCTTGTGAGGTTGTTCCCTTCAAATATCTCAGAATTCTCTTAGCCGCCTTCCAGTGAGTGTACCCCGGGTCTTCCATAAATCGACTTATGATTCCAACACTCAGACACAGATCTGGCCTCGTACAAGTCAAGTACCTCAGACTTCAAACTAAACTCCGGTAGTAACTCGGATCAACTCTCTCTCCTCCATCATACTTTGAAAGTTTCAACCCGGGTTCCATTGGCGTTGAAACCGGGTTGCAGTCTGTCATTTTAAACTTCTCTAAAATTCCTTTTGTATAGGCTTCCTGAGAGACGAAGATCCCGGATTTGTCTTGTCTGACCTCCAGACCAAGAAAACACCTCATCAGACCGAGATCCGTCATCTCGAACTCCTTCGTCATTTTCTTCTTAAAATCTCGAATCATCCCTTCATCATTACCCAAGAAAATCAGATCATCAACATATAGAGAAACAAGTAAAATTTTACCTCCTTTCTTCACATATAATGCATGTTCATATGGACATTGTTCAAGTCCATCCTTCTTGAAGTAATTGTCAATTCTTGTGTTCCAGGCTCTTGGGGCCTGCTTCAATCCATACAAAGCTTTCTTCAGTCTCAACACTTTTCTTTCTTGTCCGGCTTTCATGAATCCCGGAGGTTGTTCCAGATATACCTCCTCTTCGAGTACTCCATTTAAGAATGTCGACTTCACATCCATCTGATAGATCGGCCATCCGAATTGGGCTGCTTGAGAGATCAACAGCCTGATTGTCTCCATTCTTGCTACGGGTGCGAACACCTCATCATAATCAATGCCGGCCTTCCGCCTATACCCTTTCGCCACTAGCCGGGCTTTGTATCTTTCGATCTCCCCCTTAGCGTTCATTTTCTTCTTGTAGACCCATTTCACACCAATGGGCCGACTTCCTTTGGGCAGCTCGGCAAACTCTCACGTCTTGTTCTTTTCTATCGCCTTTATTTCCTCCTCCATGGCTGATTGCCATTTCTCATCTCGGATTGCTTCTTCAAAGCTTACTTCTTCAGAATCTGCCAACAGACATACCAAGTGTGCTTCACTGGTGGAATCATACAAATCTTGTAGACTCCTCAATCTCGGTTGTCTCTGCTCTTCATCACTATCTGAGTCATTCGGATTCTCAGGAATCCGGGTCGAAGGTTGTCCGACCTCAATTGATTTTAGTCCGGGTTCCATATTGACCCCGGATGGACTACTCCAGTCCCATCCATCTTCCTCATTCACTTTTACATCTTGGCTCACCAACACATTTTTATTGACGGGGTTCAGCAACTTGTACCCCTTCGTCTTCTCATCATAGCCAATAAACACATACTTCTTACTTTTATCTTCTAGCTTTGTCCTCAATTGATCTGGTATGTGTGCATACGCAACACTACCAAAAATCTTGAAATGAGCCACTGATGGCTTTAGACCACTGCATGCTTCTTGTGGAGTTTTATCATTCACACTTGAGTGCAGACATCGGTTTTGCACGTACACGGCACATTGCACGGCTTCTCCCCAGAACTCCTTTGGCATGTTCTTCGTTTTCAGCATAGATCGGACCATATCCAGGATAGTCCGGTTCTTTCTCTCAGCTACTCCATTCTGCTGGGGTGAGTACGGAGCGGTCAGGAACCGCCTTATCCCATGTTCTTCACAATACTTCTTGAAAGCTGTTGACACGTACTCCCCACCTCGGTCTGAGCGGACCGATTTGATGTACCTCCCAGTACCATTCTCTATCATTGTTTTAAAACTCCTAAATGTCTCTAGCACCTCGGATTTTTCCTTCAAAAAATATACCCAAGTCTTTCGACTAAAGTCATCAATAAAAGTTACAAAATATTTCTTACCACTGAAGGACCCCGGAGTAATGGGTTCACACAGGTCGGTATGTATCAACTCCAGAGGCTTCCTAGCTCGGTATCTTGCCATCCTTTGGAATGGGCTTCTCGCATGTTTTCCCAATACGCAGTCCTCGCAAAATCTTCCTTCAGAATTAATCTTCGGTAGTCCCACTACCATGTCCTTCTTCATCATCTCGGTCAGACCACCATAATGAAGGTGTCCAAACCGTCTATGCCACAAGTCCATCTTATCTTCTACCCCGGCTTGCAGACAGCCGACCTCCATGCTCCTTAGACTCAGCTTGTACATTCTGTTCTTTTCCATCTGAACTCGGGCTATCAGACGCCCTTGTTTATCTTTCAACAGTAGAACTCGGTCTGTCATTAGAACCGAGTAACCCTTCTCCATCAACTGTCCAATGCTCAATATGTTACTTTTGAGCTCGAGCACGTAATACACGTCCCGAATTGTACCAACTCGTCCATCCTTTTGCAAGAAACAGATCGTACCTCGGCCCTTTACTTCAATTTTGGACGCGTCTCCAAAAGAGACATGTCCGGCTTCCACCGTCTTCAACTCCTTAAACAAGTGTTTGTAACCACACATGTGATTACTGGCACCGGTATCCAAATACCACTCCGTCTCATTCTTTGAACTGGTTTCACCATGGGCTAGCCTAAGAACTCCTCCATCTCCTTCTACAGCGAGGTTTGAAGCCTCGTCAACTCTTCTTTCATCTCGACAATCCTTAGCGAAATGCCCAACTCGGCCACAGTTGTAACACTTGTCCGAGTTGCAATCTCTCGAGTAATGGCCATACTTGCCACACTTGTAACATTCCACATTTGTTTGATTTGACCACCGGCCTCTTCCACCTCGGCCACGTCCTCTTCCTCTCTGACTCGATTAAGCTCTTTCTTCATTTTTCACCTCATGACCTCGGCCACGACCACCTCGGCCATTTCCACGTCCAGCTCGTCCACGACCTCTACCTCGGACATTTTGAGAATAGAGCGCCTTCTCATCTTTAATATTTGCTTTTGTCTGGAGTGCTTGCTCCAGCGACTCCTCCTTTTTCTTCTTCTTGCGCTGCTCATGCGCCTCAAGGGAACCTGCTAGCTCTTCAACAGAAAGCGTAGTCAAGTCCTTCGACTCCTCAATTGCACATACCACATTTTCGAAGTCGTCTGTCAACGACCTGAGAATCTTTTCAACAACTCTAGTCTCAGATAATTCCTCACCATTCTGCTTTAACTGATTCACCACGGCTTGAACGCGGGTGATGAACTCGGATACACCCTCTGAATCTTTCATCTTCATGCCTTCCAACTCACCACGTAGAGTTTGAAGTCGGACCTGCTTTACTCGGTCAGCACCTTTATAGACATTTTCCAAGATGTCCCATGCTTCCTTAGACGTCGTTGCTCCTGCTATCTTCTCAAATCCGGACTCGTCTACAGCTCGGAAAAGCGTGTATAAGGCTGACTTGTCCTTCGCACGCGTCTCTTTCAACGCCTTGGTTTGAGCTGCTGTAAATCCTGCAGTGGTTGCAGGTTCAGCAAAACTGTCCTGAACAACATCCCAAGCATCCTGGGATCCGAGCAACGCCTTCATCTGGATACTCCAATTTACGTAATTCGCCTTTGTCAGGCGGGGCAACGACATACTGGAAGTGCTCACACTCTCCATAACTCAAGCTCTGATACCAATTTGTGAATCGCAGGTCCTCTAATGGTGTTTCTCTCAAACACTTCAAACACACAAGGAGTTCTCTGAATATACCTCTTTGTATATCTTTTAACATTCAAGCCTTACTTTCAAATGATTTACATGGTGCTATTTAAAAGCAATAGCAAATAACTAGAAATACTAATGACTAACTTAGGAAATCTAAACACATTAATGACTACTTCTTAGAAACTTTAAACTCATTAATGTCCACTAACAAATTCCTAAGAGACACACCTCTTCACCAAAAAACCTTTCATTTTCTATTTTCTTTTATTCAAATAAAGTTTAAAACCCAACAGAGGAGGAGGAGGAGCAACAGAAGCCTCGTCCTGGGTAGTCAATCCCCCACTTCCCTCTTCTTCCATGGGATGCTCAGCAGAACTACTAGGAACCTGTAACTGTTGTTGACCTTTTCGACCTCTCCGCTCTCCGTCAAATGCTTCAAGTTAAGAGCCACCAATTCCGGGAGATTCGGTAGTTCCCCGTAATCTTGCTTTATGTAGTCTATTATTTTTTTTTTGGTTGACCCATCGTCCTTACTCAGATAAAAGATTGTTGCGCGTATGATCTGAACAAACCATAAACAGTAACAATTAGAAGAAGATAAAGAAAGAAAAAAAAATGGTTTTTTTTTTTTTAAATCCATACCACCTTGTTGTCTTGTAAGAGAAGGGTAGTGCTTTTGCTTATTCCAAGAGAGAGATTGCCGTCACACTGATGTGTGTTGGCTAAGATTTCAGTGGAGAAAATTAGAGAAGAAGAAGAGGATGGTGGTTGTGGCTTTGGATGCTTTTCTACCTCACTTGGATCCAACCAATTAAGAGGATGGCGGTTGAAAAAGGGCCAATTAGGGACCGTCACCAATGTAGTGAGAATCACACCGCCAGCATATACAAGGATCATTATCTGGAAAGAAGCCATGACATATCCTGTAGCAAATGCAGTCATAGCAAATGCAAGCAGCATTATCTGCATTAGCTGCTCAGCTAGCTTTTGCCCTTGCCAGTCCATCTAATGAAGCAAAAAATTAAGAAAAAACACTTGAGAAATCCAATAAAAAAAGGTCTTAGATCTAAAGCTGTGCTACAAGATGCGCAACAAACTAGTACTTATGATTATACCATAAAACATGATCTTACATGAAACATTAAGTAAATATTATGTATCTTTCTCAGTAATAACACAAGAATCTCTCGTGCCCTGACACATACTATTCTATAATCCATCTAATAACTGCCAAGCAAAACACGAAGACCCTATCTATCAGAAAATAGACAAAGAATTATCCAAAACTTCAAGTAAAGTTTATTCTCCGTAGCATAGTAGTTAAAATCAGAATTTTACCTAAAATCGGAAGGAGAATAAAAAATAGTAAAACGTAAAATCCTAGCATAAAAAAAAATCGTAAAAACATAAAAGCGTTTGGAATTTTGATGAAATTGTTTTGATTAAAAAAAATCGTAAAAGTGTTTGGAATTTTGATGAAATCATTTTGATTAAAAAAAAATCATAAAATCATAAAAGTGTAGATTTAAATCGGAATTTTAACTACTATGCTCCAGAGCCCTGGACAAATGTCAAGCCTAAAAATTAATCACAATCCCAATGGAGATTAACGACCTGGCTAGGACTATAAATGTTAAAACGGAGATAATGCCTCGATGAAATACAACAAGGTGTTGTGACACCCTCCCCTGTATGCATCCAAGGGAAGTGTCTGCTAAAACCGATTAGAGTCGCAACGTTATCGTATAAAATTCTTATTCTGTAAAAACATTTTGATGTTACCAATTGAAATCTTGCCTGGAAAACTGACTTCGTAAAATAGAAACAGCAAATAAATTTTAAAAAGACTTTCGCTGCGCAACTCTGAATTTTCTTGAAAACAGCCTGTCTTGCAAAAATCATGTAAATTCGAAATCAAGAGCTTACAAAATTTTCTTTGCTACGAAGAAACTAGACATTCGGGGCTTCACGTACATAAAAAAATATAGTTCATTTGGAGTTCTGTAGCTCCCGAAACAGAACCCGCAAAGTAGACTTAAATCCTTATTTTAAAAGGTTTGGGCCGTGGCCCATGAGGGAATTGAACCCTATGATTCATCTAAGCCATGTTGTTTCATATAGTTCACCAAATATTATCTAGGATTTCATCGTATGTTGTATTTTAAATATTTTCCTAATAATTATTATTTCATGTTCCCACAAGTTAATAATTAAGGTTCCTACCCATATTGTAATTAAATGTAGTACTCTCCCTTTTTAACTAGTGTCTTGAATCTTTTAAAATATACACATATACTCGCTTATATTAGTAATAAAATAATTTTCCTACTTGAATTAATTTCACTCTACACATAAATCCAATTCGAGTTTCAAGTATGCTACACACCCCTAATTGCAAGTTATGAAATTTTCTAATTTTGCGGGATGTTACAGGTGTGATATTGTGCAACACAACAAAGTGATACAAAAGTTTCACAACAAATCTTTGGACTAGATTTCAGTTTTGTAGGATATAGCTGTAATCTCTGCTCAGTGAAATGTTTGGTGCAAACAACTTCAATCTCTATACTTAAAATTGAGAAAAGGGTTGCTCAGAGATGATTGATACTTTCGTTCAAGTTTACCAAATCTTCTAAAAATACACGTTATTGGCAGTCCCTGTGTCCCCAATACAGTAACACTCATTGTAAAAGCACACCCAACACGAAATTTCAATGAAATTTTGATATAGTTTTGGATATAGATATAAGATCAATTATGCAACAAAGAAAAGTAGTGGCCTCCATTTTTGTATCTCGATATTCAACAACACACTGAATAAAACCCCAAATATTGTTGAAATAGGGTTTCCGGTAATCGGGTAACCCGAAATTAAAAAAAAAAAGGAAAAAATAAAAATAAAAATAAAAAGGAAGAACTCTCTTACCTTTGGAAGATAGAAGCGTCGATTAGGAGCGAGATTCGATTATTATAATATATATATATATATATATATATATATATATATATGGGAATTGGTAAAAAGGGGTTAAAATATTATTTCACCAGTACTAGAACTATGCTACTGATTATTTTTCATTAAAATTGTGAGAACCTCACTACCATTGGGTAAAAGTTTAAGAGGAAAGATATACTTAACATCACAAAAGTTTATTATTTTTATAATTAATTTAATTATCGTTGATTTTCTGCAATCAAATAGTTATAATTTATTAAAAATTAATAATTAACTCGATAAATTATAATTATTAGATTCACAAAAATCAACAGTGATTAGATTGGTTGTAAGAATAATAAAATTTTAGGGTGATAAATATATGGGGAAATATTTTTGCAGTTAATGCAGACAAGTTATCTGCATTAATTTCCAAAGCGACGTCGTTTTGGTATTGAAATCTTAAAAATTTATAAATATAAAGACTATTATAACTCTGAAATAAATTAAAATTACAAAAATACCATGATTTCAGTCCTAAAACGACGTCGTATTGGACTTACTACAGATAACTTATCTGCAGTGTAACAACAGAAAAAGCGAACGTTAAATATATCATACCCCAAAGTTTAATTATATAATTTCAACAATTTTCCCGTGTGTGATAATGTTTTTCTTTTGATTTGTCTTGTTACATGCAAGAGTATTATAATGTTTGAATATTATTATTTAAGTAAATAAATATTTGCATTAAGCATCCTTTAAAATGAAATTGTTTATAAAATGTATAGTTGCTGATGTATTTATTTTTAATTTAATTTAAGATACTGATGTTGAGTCACTAAAATGTAAGGATAAATAACACTCTTCATTGTGCAAACAAGTTGATTTTGCAAAACTTTTATAGCAACTTCTCATAATTGTATTGTGTGAATTAATTTTATGCTAATGAATAGTGAGGATTAGTTCAGTTGGTAAAACTCGAATGTATTGAGTTTATTTTAACCGGAGTCTTTCATTAATAGATAATATGCGTATCCTTCATGGGGTTTAAAACAAATTCTTCACCCTAAAATATGTTTTTTTTTTTTTTTCAAATTTAACTTTAAAAAAAGTAATTTTATAATATCCACACCATTCTAACTTGCACTCAGAAATTCCTGTGAAAGCAACTTTTGAGTCTGCTTTAGTTATGATTCTTCCACCATCATTTTGTTTGTTCTTTTTTTTTTTTTTATAAAAATTGAACCACCCTTTTATATATCCACAGCCATTTTTTGGACCAAATGCATTGTATTGTTTTTTCTTTAAAAAAAATAAAGGCATTTTATATTTCTATTAGGGATTTAGGGTGTATTTTCTTGTATACCTATTCTATGGTATAATTATTGAGAAAATTGTTCGGCTTATTTTGTTATTAGGTGTATGAGTAGAGCTATACATACGGGCTGGTCTGACATGCCACAGGCCCATATTTAGCAAAAATGCACAATAAAGGCTCAGCCTTCTTGACTCCAAGGTTAAAACATTGGCTTGTTAATCCATTGGCCATATTTTCATTATTATTAATAATTAACTAAATAATCTGCCTAAATGTGGCATGAAGATTTTAAAAACATAAATTATTACGTTAGAGACAGAGTCTAATCATAGTATAATACATTGGCCTTATTTTTAATATTTTTTTTATATTTATTCCTGGTTAACCTCAAAGTTTGTGTAGATATACCAGGAAGATTTAAGATTTTAGAAACATAGCATAGCGATGGTCTACTACTTATCGTGTTCGATTCGACCGTAGTTAAACAATATAGCCTATTTCATCATTCAGAATTCTTGCTAAGTTGGTCTTCCATTCGGGTTATGATACATAACATTTCACTAATTTTGTAAGAAAAGATGCGGCACCGATTTCAAAATAAGGAGTAAAATAATTAAGAGGAAAATGGATGACACAAAACAATACTACCACAAGCGAACTTCGGCTTTTGCCAATTAGTTCACCTAAATTAATTAGCATTACAGAATTTCACAATTGCTCGTATAATCATTTAACACTACTAATTCACGGTACTTTCTATAATGATCAAAAATGGTAAATTTTAATTAGAGATTTAATTTAAGGATTTAAATGCCATAATTAGGTTCAGTGAGTGATTCCGAGTATTTTGACTGTAATCATGACTATGTTATGAACAGTGCGTTCTGTCAGAGAATTCGCAATCTTGTGAATTAACCGGTAGAGCTTAAATAAGCAAAATGATTTGAGAGACATAATTTGACAATTCTGACGACAAATGAGTTCAGAATGAAAAATTGTATAGTCTGACACTTTCCATGAAAATCTCGTGAATAGTGTTTCTACCGGATATTTTGTACTGCTGTTGAGCAACCAGTAGAGTCCAGAAAATAAATAAATGATGGAATAAGAGTAAGAAAGTCCAATGTATGCTATACAAGTCAAAATAGGCCCAATGATGATAAGTTTATAAGTTTTGAGTTTCGTAAGTAAAAGACTGACAGTTAGTGGTTCACAGTGCATTTCGTTAAAAACGGTGCAGAAACCATACTGTGAATTATGAATATTGTTCCTTAGGAAATAAAAATTAATGTAAATAACTTTAGAAAAATAAAAATATATCCGTAGCTTTAAGTTAAGTTTCGAGTAAATTTAAGTGAAATACGCGATAGAAAAACATCCGACAAAAGGGTCACATGTGCCTAAATAGCTTGGCCACTTAAATGAATAACTATTCATTGCAAAAATTTCTTCTTCTCTCTCTTGAAGGGCCGAGCTTCAGCCATGGAAAAGGGGGGGTTAGGGTTTTGCTTGTTTTGTTGATTTATTCTTGAATTCTCAACCAAATCTTATGACCCACCACTTGAAATTGATTAGGAACCACTCAAGGAATCCATTGCATCTATCCATTTGAGCTATAGTTGAGTGTGTGAAAAGTTATTCCTCATCTTATTTTCGGATTACTATTCATTGGAGGAGAAAAAGTGGGTTTTGATGGAGCTTTGTTTGGAGGTTATTCTGTAGGCTTTGTACAAGTGATTAGAGGTAAGAAACCTCTATTTCTATGGTATTATTTTGTGATCTATGTTTTGAAAATTTGGAGCATGTTTTGAGTGGGAAATATTTGATGTTAGAAGGTGAAAATTATGATGGATTGTTGTTGGTTAGGAAGGATAGTGTTTAGTAAGCATCAACTTGTGATAAAAAAATTGAAAAAGCCCTAGTGCACCTTTCCCCTAGGTTTCGGCCTTCATGGGTTATATAGGGTTCATCATGCAAATTTTTATTGTATGTTTGAAAAGGTAAAATATGTTGGAATGTAGTGTAAATGGATGAATGGGTGGAAATGCCAAAGTTGGAAAAAAATCCTACAAATACTTGCTCTATGTTTCGAACTATAGGATGTTTAGGGGTATATATATATTGGTTACATTTTATTCTAATAAAATGTGTTGCATTTTAATGTACCCATGGATGCGTTAAGAAGTGAAATGACAGGAAAAATGGTTGAAGAATACCTTGAGTCCCTAAGGGTATGCCCGCGACTTTAAAGAAAATAGCGTGATTTATGTGAAAAATTCTTAAGGAAATGCTTGATTAAATTAAAGAACGTCAACGGGTATATAGAGGTCTAGACTTGTGTATTGGCATAGAATTGGCAAAAATATAAAGAAAGGAAAATAAGCGATAAAATGTATGCTTATGAAATAATCATGGCATAGTATCATTTTATTGATGCATTGTAAATTATTCTCTAGGTGTGCCTAGGGATTGAGAAGGATCGAAAATCTCTTGAAGCGATAAAAGTAACTTGTTCCACAAGTAAGCGTATTGGTAAAGCTTCAAGAGGTAAGCTCTATGTTTAAGGAGTCTTTTCCTGCTTGAGTGCTCCACCATAGTTAGTGGACTATGGTTGGACTCTATGACTGTATTGATACTCTGTATAGGTGCATTCATATAGAGTTATTTGATTATATGATATGAAATGATCTGATATGACATGATATGATATGACTGGTTCTGATATAAATTCTGTATTGACTTCTGGTACACTGATGTCTTCTTAGGACTTTCCTGAGATTGACTATGTACACCTCTGAGATACTCTGGTTTCGCTTGGGGTCATCCCTTGGGAACACGTGCGTTGAATTCCGCTTGGGGTCATCCCTTGGGAATTACAGCGCACACCTCTGTTATGATATGGTTATATGTTCTGTTCTGTTATGATATTTGTTATATGTTGTACTGGTATACTCTGTATCTGACTTTCATGCAGGAGTGAGCCAGGGGTATGGAGAATTCTCTATAAACCTGGAGCTTACTGAGATTTGAAATCTTACCCCTCGTTGGGGCAACATTTTCAGGTGCACAGACTTCCGATGAGCCTTCGTTAGGCAGGGAAACGACACGGGGCTGAGACGTTTGACAGATCAGTATTTTGAGTAGTTGTAGGCTACTAATCTTTTTGGAGTGTACCTATGTATTTCGTATTTCCGTAGTGATGGATCATTATGTTAGATCCTGTATTTTGTATATGTCTTGTACATGTCATTCAGTTGATGCATGTACCTTTTGTATTCAGGCATGTTGATATGACTATGTAGTATTCAGTTATGTTTCTGTATTGGACTGCATGCTGTTAGATTAGTGGCACAGAGCCAAATTCTGCATGCGCTCATGGATGGGTATCTGATTATATTGCATGACTGGTACTTCTGAATATGAATATTATTGAAACTGTCTATCAGGAACTCTTGGGAGTGGGATTGAAAAATCCCCAGTTGTCCGATTTACAGAGGTTACTCTGTCCGATTTTTTGTTATACTTTGTATGAAGCTAAGAAGAAAAAGAAAAAGTTAGCCCGTATTTCCGTAAGATAAGTCTTCCGTTGTATCTGTTTATATCATATGTATGCTAATTGAACCGGCTCGAGACGGGGATGTTACACTTTCCTCGTATAATAATTTTAAAAACGCCATGAAATTATACGACTAAAAAAGATTTC